TGGATCGAAATAGGTGGCGTTCCAAAGAGTATCATAGCCATTAAATTTCGTGAAAATTTGAATCGATTCGGTTCGCTAGGTTTTGAGAAATCTTAAAAATAAAATTAAAAAAAAAAGGTTTTTTTGGAATAACTTCTAAACGGCTCCACCGATCAATTCCAAAAACTATTCAGCTCTTAAGCTTAAAAAACCACGTCGATTGGCACCAGTCCCATCAAAATCGGTTGATTCGTTCGAGAGTTATCGAAAACGAAAAATTTCGAAAAAAGTGTTTTTTTCACATAACTTCGAGATTTTTTTTTGGATTGTTTTTGATGAAATAAAATAATTATTAGAGCTCAAAAAATCCCGTTGATCACCACCAAGAACGTGATAATTGGTTGATTGGTTCGTGAGTTATCGTTGTCGAAAAAATTCGGAAAACGTAAAGTTTTTAAATTTCTCTAAGATTTTTGGTTCGATCAGTTTGTGTTCAAAAGTATATCATAGATTCTGAAAAACTACGTAGAATATTGCCAACCACGTGAAAATCGATTCATTCATTTAGAAATTATTGTAGTTTGAAAATTCAAAAAATACTGCTTTATTAATCTTCCATCAGACTTTTGAGCTCGAAGAGCTCAAAAGCATAAAAAAGCTATTTCTTTGAACTTGGAGAGCTCAAAATAACACACAAATTGTATTTTTGAGCTCAGAAACGTCATAAGCGCAATTTCAAGCGTTTAGGTATGGAATTGGCGGGAAGTTGCAGGGATGGCCTTTGGGGTCAACCGTTTTCCAGATTTCTTTGCTAGAGTATCCGACGATAGACTCAAACAAATAAAGCACACAAAGACGTAGAAGTTTTTTACAAGCTACATCCACCAGATTTATAAATAAATAAATATGATTTTTACTTGTATACAACCTTAGTGTGTTTTTACAAGGAGAGGGTGGGGATTTTTTACTTCCACTTTTTTGTCCTTTCTTTTTTCACTTGGTTATATCTTTGTAACTATCACACTTATTTTTTCCTCTTATTTTGTCCCCCCCCCCCACCCCCTCAGTGTGGTAGATTTTTTCTACCACACCTTAATGCGTTCGAGGTAGCAGCTGTGGCCGACTTACAAGTACTGTACACATTTGCCTGTGCCTGCCCATTTAAGCTTTAGCACAGTGACCAAGGAAAACCACAGAAAACCTGGTCAGTACAGTTCGGCTACTAGAGCGACCCTCAGCGGTTGTTATTGAAATTAATTTTCTAACAACCGCTGGGGCTTGAACCCGCGCCTATCGGCACGATATCCGTACAAACTAACGCATTAGTCCGCACGGCTATCGCGGCCGACTCCACCAGATTTATATAAAACTGCTCCAATATGGTCTGGTGGATGTACTCTTGTGCAACTATGGCTAGTATTTTCTAGGATTTCTAGGTGGTTATTGTGATAATCATTAGGACCAGAAACTTTCTATGGTAATTGTTAATTGAAATCTTTCCTATCATTTATTTTTCAGACAGACCAAGGCATCAAAAATCTCACAGCTGAAGAAGCTGCAAAAATAAGCTCACAAGATCCAGATTATGCTATTAGGAGTTTATACAACACAATTGCTAAAAAAGAATTTCCTTCATGGACATTTTATATTCAAGTTATGACCGAGCAGCAAGCAGACAAATTTCAATGGAATCCTTTTGATTTAACTAAGGTCCTATTATTAAGTTTTTTTTTTTCATTTTTTACTCTCATTACAGATTTTGGTAAGTAACATTATATAAAATGTGATTCTATAATAGGTATGGCCCCATAAAGAATATCCACTCATTCCGGTCGGTAAACTCGTATTGGACAAAAATCCATCAAATTATTTTGCTGATGTTGAACAATTGGCTTTTGATCCTGCACATATGGTACCAGGTATTGAACCGAGCCCAGATAAAATGCTTCAAGGTCGACTCTTTGCTTATAGTGATACTCACAGACACCGTCTTGGGCCAAATCATCTTCAGCTTCCTGTAAATTGTCCTTACAAAGTAATAATTTTTTTTTTTTCTTCAAGCGATAAGTACTTTTCTATTGCTAAAATAAAAAAAAATAACATTTCCTATTTTTACACTATTATTTGATTTTTTATAGAGCATATCAATAATGAATTATCAGCGTGATGGCTCAATGACTATACATGATCAGGATGGAGCTCCGAACTATTATCCTAACAGCTTCAAAGGCCCTGAAGTATGTCCGGCTGTAAAATCTCCAGCATTTAGTGCTTTTGGAGATATTGATCGTTATGAACCGGTAAATGAGGATAACTTCGGCCAAGTTACAACTTTTTGGCAGAAAGTGCTTGATGCTGATGCAAAAACTCGACTTGTAACCAATATGGCTAACAGCCTTGCAAAAGCTTCAAATTTCATTGCTGAACGTGCTATTAGAAACTTTTCCCAAGTGGATGTTGATTTTGGTCAAAGATTAACGGATGAATTGCGGAAGAAAGGAAAAATGATAAATATTTCTGGAAAGGGAGCTAACTTATAAAAATATTTTGAATTATAAAAAAAAACATGTATGTGATTTGAGCAATAACACAAAAAAATAAAAAATATTTCGTATTTCACCACTTCAACTTCTAAAACTGAGAGTTATAAATTTTGTATGTAAACAACTTTCTACTTTTTTCGACGTTTTACACTTTGTTTTCATTTTCAATAAATCAAGTGAGAACAAAAAAGTTGTAATTTATTCACTTGTAAATAACTGCTTAAATAAATATTAAACAGAGAAATAGCTTCAATGAATATACAGGGTACACTGAGAGAAAACATTCCAGGGTAAATCCTTTTTTAGATTTTTTGTATTTTAAAGAAATCGACTTTTCTATAAATTAACTATGAGTTGAATGAATTTACGTTTAAACTAAAAAAAAATATATTGTTTCGATCGAATTATAATTTATTATCGGGCGAGTTCAGTTGTGTTGAAAATACGCAGTGTAATAATAATTTGAATATTGGTATTTTATTCACAACAATATCGAATTTAGATGTAAGCAGAAAACGCTGTATAGTAATACCATGGTACTTTTGATTAAAAAAAAACATTTTAATTAAGTCAACCGATTTAAAAAGATTAAAAAAAGACGTTTTGAACAATATATAGAGGGTATTCCATGCCAAATCGACCACTTTTGAACCCGACCCCTTTCGATCTGGCCAAAAGTTTTCCATTCTTTTCTACCCTTCGAAAAACATTTTTGAGAATTTTTTCAAATCTTTTTATCCAACTTAAAAAAAGTTATAAATTTTTCAAAAATATAGCTTTTTTAACTTCCCGCTAAGAAAATTGAAAATTTTCAAAAATTGGGAAGTTATTGTTTTCACCCTGTTTTTCGAAAATCAAGTTTTCATCAGATCTCGACGTTTTGAGGTCCTAGGAAGCTTCCCTGACTATTCCCGCGATGATGTCTGTATGTCTGTATGTATGTATGTATGTATGTATGTATGTATGTTTTTTTTTTTCCATAGAGGTACGAAAAAAGATCTTCAAAAGACACCGCATCGTTAACTCTACCGCCCATCTTACGGCAGATATCGATAGTCGGTAGTGTGGAGATTTTTACCCACTAAAAAAAACATTCCTCTTCCCCTCGCCCCTAGATGGTACGGGGAGGACTGGATTGGAACCGCGTTTAGCATTACTTCAATCCAGCCGTGCTGCGTCTCACGACGCCTACTCCTGGCTACTGGTCTCTTTCTGCGATTTTGTCTTTCAGGAGCTGCTGTGCATAAGCTGCAACAGCCGACCAGTTTTCTTCTTGTTTGATCATATAGGTCACCAGGCTTGAGGGGGAGAGCCTGCTGCCAATGATCTCTTCGGTACTTCTTCTGTAGTCCTTCCACCGAGCACACTCAAAGAATGTGTGTTCGGCGTCGTCGATTTTATCCGGGAAGTATTTGCGTGTTGGTGTGTTGTGTAATCCCATCTTGAAGAGATAGGCGTTGTACTGCCCATGTCCTGTCAGTAGTTGGGTCAGGAAAAAACCTGTGTCCCCGTGCTTCCGAGAA